GTGTGGGGGGGGGTAGTTCCGTTTACATTCCGAAAATTTACATTCGACTTACTCATCAGACCTTTAGTGCGAAGTCTGGAAGAGTAAACAATTGCGTCACACCATCGCATTAGCCTTTCCGGGTGGGCAGTCCGGTGGTGAAAAATAGTCGTCATTCAACCTTCGCCGATTTTCTATCCACTGTTGTGTTTCTCATGCTGTTAAACGTCCTAATTCCCGCTCGTTCCTTATCCTCTCTTTTGCTACGCATTTTACAGTAATGTAAGATATAGAGCCTCCTTGCGCCATTTCATTTCATCCCTTGTAGTTGCAACATGAATCTCAATCTGGACTACCTGCTGAAAGTCATATGGGAGTATCTGAATCTGATTCAAATATACACCAAGAAACAGGGCCGTAAGTCTTTGGGTTATGCTGCAGTTTTACCTTGCATCTAGGCAAGCCGGATCTCACCGAGGGCATCATCCTTCGCAGTGGAGCTAGCGTGGAACATGTAGTAAGTTCCGTGGGCATATTGGCGCACGATATGGGTGGGCCTAAAAGCGACTGTAAATGTCCGTTAAAAGTGCTTTTATTATTTTTTAAAAAAAATAACAGGTAACATTTCTAGGCGGGATTTGGCTATAGTGTATTCCCCCACCTCTTCTTTTACCTCTCTCCCATTTTAGTGTCATTGCATTCATCGGACCCTCGCAAGCAATTTCAAGTATGCATTGGTCTGGGTAAGCCGTCGACGTTCTCCTACTTGTCTTGCTTTTTATCTGATAGTTCTGCAGAGCAGTTCGCATGTGTGTGTGCTCGGTTTGTTGTCAGCCTCGGCAATTTCAGCTCCGAGGGAGTTGGGAGGTAATAAAAGGAGGCCTTATTGAATGTAAGTCATGCAGACGGCAACAGAGCCAGAAAAGGCCTTCCTAGTGTCCCATGTCTTTGCTGGTGATGCCCTTCTGCTTATGTCCTAGCCGCCTCGAGGTGGAGGCTCGAGTAACAGCTCTAATGGCAACATGGACGGACGAGTGGGTCCACTGACAGATCGGCGTACGCATCTCTGCTACCGTATATCACCGATCTAATACTGGAAAGACTGTGAGCTCGTGGCTCAATGGTAAGGAAGTTCGCCTCTGACCGGAAAGACCCGACTTCAAATTGCCATCATCGGCTAGTGATATCCATCTCCAGAGTTGCCGCTAAAATTGCTGCCACAGTCGAGTTTTGAGGTCGGGTCTTTCCGGTCAGAGGCGAACGTCCTTACCATTGAGCCACGAGCTCACAGTCTTGCCAGTATTAGATCGGTGATATACGGTAGCAAATATGCGTACACCAAGGTGGGCCGTGCGCTAAAACAAAGTGCGATGAACACTTTTCGTCACTACGTTTTGTGGAAAAAAACTTCACACGTTAGCTTAGCATAATTTTTAAAACTTAAATTGTTGCTTGTTTCTGAAAATAAAGGCGATTCCTTAAACTCTGCTCCATTTGTATCTGAATAATTTCGGACAAAATTCTCTAATTCTGGAAGGGATAATTTTTCCACTTTTTTACTCATTCTAAAATTCTTCCGTAGCGCAATGCATATTAATAACAAGTTTGGCTCTGTCATACTTTATAGCATAGAAGATTTCTTCGATATAAGCTTACTCATAATTTAGTTAAATTAAGTGCCTATTTCACTCCATAACTTTAACTAAGACACAGTTCTCCAAACTAAAGCCTTTCTAATTATTAAATCCACTCAGTTGATCAAAATAACCTGTCGAAATATATGTGCTAGACTACCAATTAAAATTTCATCATGAAAGTTGCATGCGGGACTCGCCATACTGTATGTATGGGAACCAGGTAGACACATCTGGTTATGTTTTATTTTAAGACTTAGGATAGACTATGTG